GACGTCCCCCCCCCTCAGGGCCTACTTGTTCTAATTTTCATAAATGATGGCATCAGTTCTCAACTCAGTATCTATGCTGATGACATGACTATTTACTAGTGTCTTAATACTTAGTTGAATTAGTTTGATAAAGTCAAGTTTCCAGCTGATTTAAAAAATGTCCTAAAATCTGATGTTAATTGGGGCAAGGAATAGACCGTTACTTTTAATGCTTCTAAAATTAAACCTCTATTAATCATTTGAGAGATCTCTTTTTGCCTTTCATCAGCATGGCTAAAGCTAACCTCCACAAGATTGACCCAGTGCATCTTAGTCTAACATTTTCTGCTGATATGAAGTGGAAAGATTAGATTGAATCAATTGATAGGTTTGCTGCTAAGAAAGTTGGTCCACTGTGTGATCGTGAAAGACAATTTTTCTCTCAAGAATCTATCTTACATATTTATAAGTCTACCCTCCATACATGCTTTGAATATTGATGTCGCCTATGCTCTGGTGCTCCTGTTATCAGAGACTAGCAGTAGAGCCCGGCGTTGCCCGGGGATATAACAGTAAGAGATAGATCAAGTATCCACCATCATAAAGACTGAAAAATAAAATTGACAAAGATTATTGTTTAAGGTTGATGGACATGCATGTCTTAATTAGTTTTTTTTTTTGTTTTTTTTTTACAAATTGGTCAAACCCAAACTCAAACAAAACATTGTTTTCAATCGTTATGAGTCTCCCGATTGAATAGAATAATTTTATAAACAATTGTCTTGTAAATGGAATTTTTAAAGCATTCTGAATGTAAAAATAAAGAAAAAAAAGTGTGCAAGACAATAAGAAACACTACATGCCAAAAAAAAAAAAAAAAAAAGTGATGTTTTGTTGAAATCGGTTGAAAAATGTAGGTAGCCTTTCTGTAATCTTTTTAGTTTTACAATTTATGATTTTTACTTATTGAATACAGTAAAAAAAAATTGCATATTTTGCTTGTGGTGATTCATAATTAGAATTCTGATTTGAATATATTTTCCACTCGTTGTTTCTAATACAAAAAATATTAACTTTATTTGGGTTTATTAATTATGATCTAACAAATCTTATTCATTTAGTAGCCTTTCTGTAATAATAATCTTTTACAATTTATGATTTTTACTTATTGAATACAGTAAAAAAATTGGACACCATGTGTATTTAAAGTAGTTTCCCCATTCCGGTTATTATTTTTAGTTAGGACTTGTGTATGTTTAGATTTCATTATCTTTCCCTAAAGATAAAGAATTTATTCCGATGTTTGTATTCGTACAATCAGTAGAGATTGTTAGATTATTGTTTAAGGTTGATGGACACGTATGTCTTAATTAGTTTTTATTTTTTTTATTTTTTACGAATTGGTCAAACCCAAACAAAAACATTGTTTTCAATCGTTATGAGTCTCCCAATTGAATAGAATTTTATTATAAATAATTGTCTTGTAAATGGAATTTTTAAAGCATTCTGAATGATAAAAATAAAGAAAAAAAATGTGCAAGAGAATAAGAAACACTACCTGCCAAAAAAAAAAAAAAAAAAAAAAAAAAGTGAAGTTTTGTTTTATCGGCTGAAAAATATAGGAAATCTGATGTGAGTTGTCCCCCTTCCATTTTCACGATGTCTCTTAATCGTGTTTTTAAATTGATTTTGTGCAAAAACAATTATATTTTTCCCATTTTTGGCGCTGTTAGAACCACCACAAGGTAATTTTATGTAGTCCTGTGAAGTTTTGTTAAAATCAGTTGAAAAATGTAGGAAATCCGATCCAATATATAAACGTTACAGACACACAATCTGCGTTTTATAATAAGTAAGATTCTTGATAAAATCCAAAGAAGAATCTGCAATGTTATTGGTCCTGACCTGGCATCTCAGCTTCAGTCACTTTCCCATTGCTGAAATGTAGCTGCCCTGTGTCTTTTCTATCATTGTGACTGAGGGTTTGAGTGTATCAGCCTCATTCAAACTGTTGATCATGCACACACCTGATAGCAATTCCAATGCAGCAGAGAAATTGGTTATCAAATTTATATCTAATTTTTTCTGCTGCTGTTTTTTCAAAAACTTGCTTGCTACATGACATTGACAACACACAAATTCTAATGAGAAACAAGATTTGTCTTTTATTTACGATCAAACCCAAAACCAATGGCAAATGGCTCAGAGAATTGGAATTTCCTGCCCGATTCTTATGGCATTAATATTCAAAATGGCATTGAGATTATTAAATGAATTCTTTGTTCTTAATTCATGCAATTTGACAATCAAAGAATTGGCAAAAATAGTGTGTGTCCCCCCCAAAATACTACAAATAATATACAGGGCGTCCCAAAATAATGTATACACTTGTAGTGATGCTGTAAGTATTGTTGGCTAGGGTCACCGTGAATATAATAAAGAAGGAAGGCTGTGTTCTTGTAAAACAACACCCCACATGAATAATGCACAACAAACACGAGAGAAAAATAACCAAGCTCAGTGAACATTAATAAAATATTGTATTAACAATGATATACAAATATCAACAATAGTATAAAGAAAGTTGTTCCCCTTCTTCCGTAATAAAAAGGTTAAGTTTAGCTAATAAATGTAGAGTACAAAATTGAATGTTATTTAACTACAAAGTTCAATTGAAGTCTTAGCTAAATAAAGAATAGTTCCACAGTGTTTTATCAGTGTAGAAAAATGTAATGTTCATGAGTGATATCAATATGAATTAGTATGATTACTCGATTGAGTGATAATTAAGAATTAAAATGTCAGTATAGCGCCGTGCCTTATTTTCCAAGAATTGAACTGCTACTGACTGTTAGCAAACAGCGAGTATCTTTATATAACTATGGATAGGCTCCGGATAGCTTGGCGCCAAAATATAGAAGAGATACTAAAATACGCGATTGGTCAGGAAATGGACCAATCCGTGATTTTAGAGAAAATTTTGAATTACTTGCGATGGTTAAATTGTCCTATAATAAGTATCATGTATTTATTACCCAATGACAATAAAGAAAACGGAGGTGTGACACATGTAAGTCAAAGTGATTCCCACACACTCTTTGAATCATTATAACTTATTCAATTTATGTATTTTGACTTGTAAATATGATTACTACAAGAGAAAGAATACACATTTAAAGAATTTGAGAGTAAAATATATATATAAAAAAAAACAGAAAATTAACTTTAATAAGATAAAAGCTACTTGGGGCAATGGCAGAATGTTCATATAATGATGAGTTCACATCAAGTGCTCAAACTGGTTGCCGTTCTGTTCAATGCACTTTTTATATCTTGAAGAAATAGACCTACAAATGTCCAGTATCATTTCCTCTGGTATTTGAGCAAATTCTTCTTCAATTGCTAATCTCATGTCAGCAATTGTTTCAGGTTTCCTGCTGTAAACTGTCTTTTAGGAACCCCCACAGAATGAAATCCAAGGGCGTCAAATCTGGTGATCTAGGTGGGTATTCAACTGTCCCTCTTCTTCCAATCCATCTGTTTGGCATATTTTCATCCATATAAGTTCTCACATCATGGCAATGTATCATTAACTATTAATATTTAAAGAGTGTATACATTATTTTGGGACACCCTGTATAGAAACATGGAGAATAAAAAAAATATGCTGAATAGTAGCACTTTAGAGTCTTGATAGAGGTCAAAATGGTTTCCATGTCTTTTGTTGGTGATGGATTATTTTCCACCCTACAACCTCTTTCACACAGAAAAAAATCTAAATCTCTCACTGTTCTATCACTATTTCCAGGGACAATGTTCAGATGAAATACATTCCTTAGCTCCACCAGGTTTAACCTTCAGGGATGTAACCCACAATGCTACGCACATTGTAGTGAACTACCCCTTGTATTCCCCTGATAAAATATAAGTTCCACTCGAACATCTACCCACAAACTGTTACTTTGTGGAACTGACTCCCAAGGGGATGCTTCCCTGATCATTACAATCTTAACCTGTTCAAGTCTAGGAGTAAACATTACCTCCACCACATATCCTCATAAACTTTGCCTCTTACTCTTTAACCCTCTATCTTGAGTGGCACTTGGGCCTTGTACATCATTGTAAAAAAAAAAAAAAATATTTAAACAATTCAAAGGTTAACTTGAAATTTCAAAATAAACAAAAGTGAAAGAGAAAATTTTCTCACCATAATTTGTCCATTTGTGATCTGAAAAATGGATAAAATGTCAATGTCAGCCCAAAAAGAAAAAAAGGAAAAAAAATATAGAAAAAATGAGATCATAAAGAGATGATTTATTTTTTTTTTTTTTACAAGATATATCAAAATCCATTTTGGAATCTGAAATTAATCCTCTTTATATGGATTTCATAATATTGAAACAAAGCAGATGTGTGTCATAATATTGAAACAAAGCATTTGTGAATCAATCATATTAAAACAAAATAATTAAGAGTCAGAAGATCAAAGTAGAACTTTTGAGGATTCATATTTATTGATAGAAATCATTTGGTTGCCATCATCTTGAAACAAAACATTTGGAAGCTATAATATTGAAACAGAATATTTCTGAATCCATAATATTCAACCTGGATATCTGAGGGTCATAATATTGATACATAACATTTGGGAAGACATAACATTGAAGCAAAATTTTTTTAGAGACAAAATATTTGGGAGGATCTGAAAGGTAGATGAGCATGGGGTGGTCTCATTAGCAGGTGGGACAGGTGATTTAGCAATATTTGCTAGCCAAGGATGAAGAGTTCAATCCTTGGAAAGATTAGCATAAACAATCTCCATAATAGTCATCAGAAAGGTAGAAGAGCGTAGTTAACAAGAAAAATAAATTGCAACTCGTCCTACTTAACTGAAATATATTGTGAACAAACGATGAAACCAGTATAAGCACAGTTCAAAAGGATTAGGAATAACATTAGAAACAAAGCTAATGGTGCTAAACTGCAATATATTATCTTCCCCATCCCCCGCCTGTATGTCAGAGAAAGCTGGAATATTCCATTTCAAATGAACTTTGGTGGGGGGGGAGTGGCAACCAAAAACATCTGCTTCTATTAGAAAATATTCAGAATAACATGGACAGAGCATGTAACAAATAAGGAAGATTTAAGAATAACGGTTGATTTAAAGTTGGTGGATTTAACAATATAACTGTATAAAGCCTGAAGGTATGACAATTTGGTCTGGTGACAAATGTTCAACTTGTCCACAAAGAAAAAGGAAGGAAAAAAAAAAAAAAAAAAAAAACAGATAAAGTGTAAATCCAAAATTTTCATATGCTTCTTCTCTTGCACTTCCCATCTGTGGAACTCCCTTCCCCTTTACTTGTTTCCCCAATGATCATAATCTTCAAATATTCAAGTGTAATGTCAATCAACATTTACACCCTGAGCTTATTCCTCATCCTTCTCTGTATCCTTTCCTTAAACATGCCTCTTTACTCTTGTTCTCAATCCTCTGTAAACCCCATGTGTGATAGTGGTACTTCCGCCTTGCTTTGGGGGGGAGGGGGAATTGCTTTTAAAAAAAATTCAGAAATTGTTGAGGCAAAAAATAAAAAAAAAAAGAAGTTTCTTATGAAGACAGTTTTTTTGTGCAACATGAAAGAATTACTAGGATGAAGAGTTATTATTTACACGCAGACTGTTGGCCTCATCTTTGCTGTTATGTTTCAGCCTTTATCAGGTGTGTGTTGATCCCTGGTAACCTTCAGGGAATTCCCTGCCCTGAGTATGATGATAAATTACATCCAGCAGCAGCAAAGACTGATCCAGAGATTGGATGTTTTGAGGAACCTCATGCTTCTTAACTGTTGTTGTTCCTAGGTTCATCCTTACATGGGGTGGTAGCACCTGTTAGGGTCCTAGCTATGGGCAAATAGTGAACCCACAAACAAATGCCAACAGTACGTTTTTAGAATAAAATGACCAACAATACAACACTAAAAAGTATCAAAATACATTTTTGTAGTGAAATTACCAACAATGCATTTTCTAAAGAAAAAAAAAAAAGTAACAAAAATACATTTTATCATCTACAAACTATATATCTAGGAAATGTACTTTTGTCCTCAAGGCATAAAGATGCGTGCAGAATATCTGTAGTTGGGGGATGGAATTGCATACAAAATATTTGAATTTCAGCATAAGAGTTTAATATGCCACTAAACTAAATCAATCACCCAAACTGCAGGGAATTTTGAACTAAACCTTTTATGTAATATATTGTTCCACTGCTTATGTCTAGGGATATCTTGTCGAGTTCTTATTTTTAGTACTACTCAGTTATTGTCTGTCCTGTTTCCACAGAGTCCAAGTACTCACTGCCCAGCCCAGGGATTGAACTTACAATTATGATGTCCCCAAATTCCCAATGGGCTATTGTCCCATGGGAATTCCCTGCTAGATTAACATACACCTGAAGAAAGCCAAAAGGTATGACTTATGAAATGTTTTGATAACAACAAAGAGGAGGAGAATAGTCCACATGTAAATAGTGTAAATAATGAAAAACGAGATACAGGAAGATTTTTTTACTACTTCGTCTTGGACTATTACATCTGCCTACTACCCTGACTATCACAGCAATTGTTCCTCTGATTAGAAACTGACTACTTGATATGATGTCCTTTTATTTATTTCAGGTGTATGGGTGTAGTAGTAGACAGAATGCATATGAATATTTAACAGAGAAATCATCAGCCTTATTTGAATGTGTGTTACTGGAACAATATTAAATTTACAATAATTTGATATGGTTTAAATGATGTGTAATTTTTATCTTTCTCCTTAAATTAGAATAAAATTTATTTTAAGTTGGTACCCATACAGAAGAGTATATTTTATTAATAATTTTCAATAAAAAGACTATTTATTTTATCTAAAATTGATTAATAATTTTTGCTCTAATAATGCATCTGTTTTAACTTGAATCTGTTCAATTTGTTCATCTTAATTTATACAGGTTTTTAGAGTTTTTATTCATAAACAGTACATATCAACCCTTGAGAAGTTGTTCAATGTCAAACCCATTTGATTTTTTTTTTTTTTTTTTTTACACAAAAATCTGCATTTGGATTTATACTGGTGCCTCCAGTTAAATGCCAATTGTGTTTGTGGCAGAACTTACATGGAAACACAGGATAAGCTTATCCATAAGTTCACAGATAAATGTTGGCCTGGCCTATACCCAAGTCTACCTGGCAGAGACTGATTTATTTTAAACTGGTGTCTACTGGGAAGAGCAAGCATCCTTCCACAATTGTAGGACTTACTGACAATTCATGATTTAAGAGGTTTATCAATTTACACTTGAGTTGGCTAGATGTAACCAAAAGTTCTAAGCTAACAGTTTTTCTTGCACTTCTTGCTTGTGGAACTCCCTTCCAGATCCATGCTTTCCAGCCAACTTTAATCTTCAAAAATTTAAATGCAATGTCAATCTATCTACTCTCCTCCTGATTACCTCTTTTGTTTTTATTCCTTAGTAATATTTCTGGTTTCTAATACTTCCACACCCTTGTGTCTTAGTGACTTTAATGCCTTGCTTGGGGTGAACTTGATTAAAAAAAAAAAAAAAAAAAAAGTTGTGCGGTTTCTATTTTTATCACTGAAGAAATACTATGAAATGTAGAAAATATATTTTTGGTGCGTGTGTGTGGCGGACAGAAATAGGTGGATTTTACAAGAATTGAAAAGTGAAAAATTACAGGAATTTTCAGTCATAATTTTTTTATTTTTTTTTTACTCACCAGCACATTTTGTTTTAGCTTTTTTGGTGTAATAATAAAATAAATTTTGGGCAGTTGGGCTGTTTTTTGAAACTTTTCTTGACCTGTGAAAACAAAGGTTAAAAATCAGCAGATAAAAATTTGCATTTTAAAAAAAAAAAAAAAAAAGGCTTAAATTATTAAATTGGCAAATATAATTTCCATGGAATTCATTTGAATTTTTTTTTTAATCAAACATAATTTGATTTGATTAATTTGTTTTTTACAGGTTATTTAAAGTCGGAACTTCTTTTTGGATTGTAATAATTTTTTTTTTTAGAGATGATAAAGATTTCTTGACTAATATTCTCATTGTTTTGTCTTCATCCTGCATTTTTGTTTATCCCTTTTCCTGCCAATCAACATTTATTTGAACTTCTAAGATCAAATAATCTGGCTTAGTATCCTCATTGTTATTATTTTGATCATGTGATTACATAATTATCACCAGCATTTGTAATTCTGTTTTAACTTTTGAAAAAAAGTCTTGAAAATATCTAACCTAATATCGGCATCTTTGTTAATTTGTAACAAATAGTACCATTCACACTGGTTACATTTCAAAGATTACAACCATCAAGTCACATGTGTTACACATGTTACAAGAGGATCTAGCATCCCACTGTATATTTGTTCAATAATTATTTTTAATGGGTTCCGTGTATCACATGTTACACTTGCAATAAGATGTAGCAACTCACTTCCTATTTGCCACTTTTTTTTTAAAATCAAACCAGCGTGTCACATATGTACAATCATAACACTTCATATTTGTTACTGGCTACATTTAAAAAAAAAAAAAAAAAAAAAAAAAAGAATGATGTAACAAACATGAAGTGGGTTGCTACATCCCCTTGTTACAATTGTAACATATGTGACCTGCTGGTTCCATTTAAAACAAAAAGTATATTTATGTTATATATGTTACACTTGTAACACAGATGTAGCATCCTATTTCCCATGTCACATTCCTTTTTTTGTTTTAAACTGAGCCAGCATGTAACTCATGTCACATTTTAAATTAAAAGAGCTAGCACCTCAATAATATCTCTTCCAATTTTAACAAATGAAGCCAACAAGTGAAACATCTGTTACAATTGTAACAAGGCGATCCGGTGTTGCATGTCATAAGGTCTTGTTTATAAATTATTATTTAGTTTCTCACACAGTCAGATTCTAAAAAATGGGATTTTTCTGTGCAAAGCAGTGAGTATTGATCCTGCAAGCCATTCATACCTACCTGCTTGTTTCAGCTGAATTGGGAGCTGATATGCGTTGCTCTGTCATCTGGCGAAATGAATAAGGTTTGTTGGAATCGACATTTACAGACAAGTGTGGACTTTCTGCTGTTAAAAAGAAACAAAAAAAAAAAACATACATTTTGCAAAAATAGCTGGATATTTTGCTTTATCATTGTTTTGTATATATATATATATATATTACATAACAGGGAAATCCAAAATTACCTCCTGAGTATATACTATTTCAACCAATGTCAATACACTGGATATAGTTAGATTCCTCTCCTATCCATATAACCTACCCCTTATTGTAATCCTTCTACAGGGTGAACCTTACAATAAAAAAAAAAAAAAAAAAAAAATATATAAAAATGTAATAGGAAGGCTGAAAACAGTCTCACCTAAAAGGTAGAGGCAAAAAAAAAAGTGCTCGATATAAAATTCAAAGTCGAATATATAGAGCTAAGATATTGAAGATATTTAAGAAAAGGCCAAAATACCAAACCCAGGTTACAATGTTGGTTGGCATTTTAACCTTTTCATATATATATATATATATATATATATATATATATAAACAATGGGCAAATTGTCTGCATTTGATATTTTTTGTTTTTGTTGATTTCATAGCATAGTAGGATCAGTTGGGCACTATCTGTGAGAAAAAAAAAACCATGATGATGCAAATCACTCTCCCAAAGATTTTAAAATGCCATGATGTACTGCTTGTCATTTGTGCCAGAACCTCTATTATAAACATTTCAGAACAGAGAATTCAAAAAGAGTTGGGAAAGTCTAATGGTGATATATATATATCTAAGTACAGGGCTGGTACACATGGAATAAAATTCCAATAACAGAGAACACTATTCTTAAAAGAGTGCTCAATACCAAGTAGAGCTAATAATATTTATTCAAATTTATAACATGTTATAAGATCACTACAAAAGTTGCAATTTTGTTTCAGCACTTCTGGTACCTTATCAAGTGATGATGTTGAAAGGAAAATAAATGGTTTTAAGAGTTCCGAAACAAATCAAACCCCCCTCAGTAGGGGAAACATTTACATAATCTATGATTAATACAAGCATATAGTAATTTAAAATAACATGACAACATACTCTAGTACAAGTACAATCTATTAGTGCAATAAAGTTAAGATTAGATTAAATTAGAAATCAATATAAAAATTAAATTTTAAGTTAACAGTTAAATTTGAAATTAAAAATTTCAAATGTCAAATTCTAAATTTAATCGAACATCATGTTTAATATTATTTCAAGATTATTCAGAAATGAAACTAAGAGAAAAAAAATATTTTAAAGTTCTTAGCGAAGTGCCAATTTATCCTGTTAAGTTTGATGCTGATGAAAAAAGTATCTCTGCTACAAAAATTTGATACATGAAAGTCAGAATTCAATTAAGGAGGTAGATAGGGAAGGGAATTTTTAAATGACACAACAAACACATTCACATCAGAATGTACAAACACATATAAGCACGCAAATACGAGGGAGTATATTCACACAGGAAATGGAGGAAGGAAAAATTCAAAAAATAGAATAAGAATAAAAAAAGGGTAAAAGCATACATATAATAAACATCACAAAAGAAAATTATGTCAGATATATGTATATATAGGTAAAAGCAATCACACACACACATACAAATGTACAAACAACCAAACTCGCATGTGCAAACAAAATATGCACACAACCATAGAAATAAAATACCCACATATAAAATATAAATAACCATACACCTACCCATATATATATATATATATATATATATATATATATATAATATTATATATATATAATATAACAGACCTGCATCTGTGCGATTTTTTGTCGGCAGAAGTTCATGTTTGTAGCGCTTTCTTTTTTTAAAACCTTTTTTCCCCTCGAGATTGATTTGATTAACAAATCAAAAATTCGAGGGTTTTTCGAAACAAGTCTAGTTATCTATATATATATATATATATATATATATATATATATATAAAAGAACAATAAGATATATAATCCGGTGTTCTTATTGATATTTTTATATTCAATATTCGCTTGAAGATGAAAAAGACCTAATATTTTAATTTAATTACAAAATTAAATTTTAAGCTTCCATTTTTGAAACACGGGTATTACTGTGTAGCGAAAAAACATATTTTAAACCAGTTAATATATATATATATATATATATATATATATATATATATATATATATATATATATATATATATATGGTGGCTGTCAACTCACAAAGCAAGTATAGCCATCACGGGCATGTACAAACCTTCAGTTAAAGTCTCCCTCTGCCACAACCCTGCATTCATTGGTTGTGTGAATGACGGCGGCTCATAAAGTCAGTCATTGATCTGCATTTCTTGTCACATATGTAGCACATCAAATCATCTCTGGGTGGTGGAAGTTGACATTGATCATTTCCAATATGTCTTTTCATATGCCTTCTCAGGCCCAATCTGAACCTGTACACCCTAGTGCAGGTAGGGCATTCAAAGCATGCCATTATGAAATTGTCATATACAATAGGCTGTTGGTGTTGATGTGACGGCTGGTGACTGAGCAGACCTGCCCTGGACAGACATATCCGATTGCATTGGGCACATGGCCAGGTTGGCACCTCATGGCAATTCAGGGATCCCTTCTAAACTCCTCTCTTCAGTTCTGCATATTTTTGTGATGCCTCATGGAAGATCTTGATGCCATCAGCAATACCAGCTCTCCAAGAAATCCAGTCTTCAGCGAGAGTTTCCCAGTTATCCAGACCAATATTGCACTTGTATAGTGACTCTTTAAGGCAATCTTTGTAACAAAGTTCAGGCTTGTGCTGCAGCCTTTTCCCCCCATTTCTAATTGTGTGTGTGTGTATATATATATATATATATATATATATATATATATATATATAAAATGTGTACCTATTTTTAAAATCTGACTTTAATAATGGTACACCCAAAGAATTAAACTCACCTGTTAATCTTTAGGCAACCATTTTTTTTGGCTTACTAACAGCATCTTAGTCTGGCTCAAGGCAACGAAATTGAGAACCTAGTCAGGATCAAATTCAGTAGAGTAACAACAAATGAATTGATTATGTTAGAGGCTTTAAAGATATTTTAACCCTTGATTTGTTGAGGACTTGGAGTATAAAAATTACAGTGTTATCATCAAAAAGGTTGACATGAATCCACTCAAAAACTAGACTGTTTTGGTTTACATTAGAGGCAGAAAGGAAGTTATAGCTCTGATTTACATGATAGTCAAAATAGTAGACATTGGTAAGACCTAAACCCAAATCTGCAAGTTGTCCATTCTAAATGATTTATAAGCATAGCTTAAATGTGGCACAAGGCCAAAAGTATTGACCACCCAGTGATTATAAAACTCATTCTTTCTATTTATGTGCCATGTTCTTTCAGGATGTGGGCGATCAAAGCTCTCCACCTCCCTTTATCCCTTGCAGCTCTCAGCAAGCTCCTTTCCTCTGCTTCCTCCCCCAGACCACGTTCTGTCATCCACCTGCTCAAGCTCGTCATGTATGTCACATGCTGCTTTCCCTTGTCTCTCTTTCCCTCTATTTGAATTGTGGGTATCAGATTCTCCAGGCCCTCCTTCCTCATTATGTATCGCAGAAACTTCAGCTGCATCTTTCTGATGTTAAGTATAAGCCTTCTCCTCTCTAAGACCTCATTGTTGCTCACATGCTCAGTCGTAATTGATCTAGCATGGCAAGATTGTTAACCATTATACCATGTTGAACTTCTGGACATAAAGTGTGTAAAAACTGTCCAAATGTTCTATATATCCAAGCACTTTTGACTAGCCTATTAGCCATTATCAAGGGTGTTTTTTTCTAAACTATATATATATATATATATAAAGAAATATAGTTTTAATGCGTGCTATATTTATGGGATAAAGTGCTCAGTATCAGAGATAGAGCATATGTAAATATAAATATAAAAGTGATCATTGCAGTCAACACACAGAGGCAACAGGCCGTTTCATGCTCGGTGCAATTGTCAAATTGTCAGGCCGATGATTGCGTCTAGCATGAAACAGCCTGTCACCTCTGAGTGTTGACTTCAATGCTCACTTTATATATATATATATATATATATATATATATATATAGGGATCTTTTTTATTTTCAAATGATAATATAAAAATCTAAGCATTCAGTTAAAATTAAACATCTGTGATAATGGCCAATAGAATAGCCAAATAACTTTCTCCACAGTTTTGTATTCAGAAATGTCTTTCTCTTAAAGTGGTTACTACTCAAGGCTAGAAAATCCAGTCTACCTTACAGTTTAACCCACAGCTGAGAGGAGATGGATTTATGCCTTTTCTAAGGGCATTAGGAAAAGTGAATGTGACAAACTAGACCAGAGTTTGAACTCTGGTTTCACATTTTGCATTGATAACCATTACAAGACACACATTCTTTTTCCATTAAACTTTGGAAAAACATTATTCCGCAATTAGAAAAATATTTCTTCTTACCTGATATAATTCTTTTCATGGTCATATTCAGCGGGGTTATGACTGCCCTTAATGCTTGTGATGTTCCAAGTATATCACTGCCAAGAGGCTCAGGGAGCCGCCAACGATTGGTCAAACCAACCTGTTTCCTCATTCGACGCCGGTCTTTCATTGCATCCTACAGGAGTAAAAAAAAAAAAAAAAAAAAAAATCAGATTTTTTTTTTCTAGATTTCATTCAATACAAGTCTCAAGAGCCACTCAAAGTAGGTTATTGAATGAGGTGTGTGCTATGGACATAAAAATAGGATGTAAGAAGTGAAGATTATAAGGATATGGAGGATAGATAATTATTGACTTTTGATTTGAAGAGGAAATGGACTCTGAAATATAGTCAATAAGTCTATATTTATAAAATGCAATAATATTTTCCATAAAGTGCACAGATATTACATTCTTATTTTAGGTAGAAATACCAGGAAGCAACACTGGTCCTCAACACAGTAAAACAGCTGCTACACTTTGATCCTAAGAAGTTTGGGAAGTAAAACTCAGACTTTGTATCTACCTACCTCTCCATGGTGATAGAATGTAACACAGTCTTTTTTTATGTGGGATGCATATAACTATACATATAGACCAAGGACAAAAATTGTCATTGTCACAGCAACCCCCTGGCATGCACACTGACCTTGCCCATCTACTGCAATGGGGGAAGGTACTGCTGTAGTATTGGATTGATTTGTTTTTTTTTTACAGCTTATCAACCTTTTGCAGGTTATTTAAAGCCAGAAATATTTTTAGATTGTAAGAATTTTTAGGGGAGATAATGTTTTGCTGATACAAGTTCTCATAATTAATCCATAGCTGGAGGGAGATGATGTGGATCCATATCTTTCCCAAGGTCTTATGCATGTAAGTGAATATAATGAACCTGAATAGAATTGGAACTCAGTTCTCCGATTTTAAATTCCAAGTCATTATCCATTACACCACCTGCACAGCCAAGCTTACAGCACCTGGTTTCCCAAGCGGTCACTCATCTAGGTACTGACCAGCCTTGACATTGCTTAACTTCAGCGTTTCAATGTGATATGTCTATAAGCTATTTCTCAGCCATATCTTTTTATTAATTCATAGTAACCACATTGCTTTGCTGAACTGAACAATTTATGATTTGAAATTGTCATAAGTGTGTCTTTATTGGAGACAAAGAAGGTGATTTTTCTGACTCAGATTAAAGTGCTTTTTGTATGTTTTTGCCTTGTTGGCGGGCATTTCCAATTTTTGTACAATAACATGATTCATTTTTAAGCTTTGGAAACTCACAAGTCTTTTGTCGATGTGACTTATTTAAAAAGACCTTAAAACATTTGGTCAAAGGATCAACTTTTAACTCACCTTATAAGTACATTTCTCATTCTTTGATATTCCGAGGGCATTCAGAGGGGCATTGATCAAATACCTGCAGAGAAAAAAAAAAAAAAAAAAAGAAAGAAAGAAATTCTCATAAAAATTTTTAATTATTAAGGAAATAATAGTTTTTATTAGAGCCAATGCAAGAGTATCATGCACCCCCACCCATTCTACTAAATCTCAATTTTCAGAAGTTAGTAATCAAATTTTGTTGTAACCTAGTTTTTGTGATGTCAATGAACACTCGTTTTTGACACTTTTGTAATGTCAATGAATACTTGTTGTCACTTTTGTAATGCTAATTGTAGTAGAGGCTTTGTAATCACAGACACAACTATAGTACGCCATTGAACCATACTGGTATCAGACACCTTCAAATAACACTCGCACTAATAGTCCTTGCTTGATAATACTCACTTGAACAGTAATCCATATAGTAATCGCAATAGAGAATAATGTAGTGAATAGAGTAGAGAATAGCAGTCTGTATAGTAATAGAGGATAGACTAGAAATGGTGATCAGTTAGACATCACATGATTTTCTACTTATGCTTTTCCTCTATAGTCACATGGTCTACTTAATTCAATAATGGGATCAACTGAGTTTGTTCACTGGCAATATATGTTCAAACTCAAGTGTCGGCAGAGACACTTTATTTCATGATATTAATCTATGTACAATAATTGATCATATACAATACAGGTGAAAAATTCTACTAGAAAATTTTTAAATAAAATGTATCTAAATGTATCTGTTATAATTGATCATTCCATATGTTCAAGGATGTTACCCTGGGTTTCCCCTTTCTTGCTTCTCTTACCTTCTGTATGTCCTCATGGTAGTCCTCGGTAAAACAATAAGCTACATCCAGCAGCAAGACCTTTGATCAGGAGGTTTTGAGGAGCATGGAACCACCTCTTAATTGCTGTTGTTCCCAGGTCCCTCTGACCTGGGATAGTAGCACCTGTTAGAATCCTAGCTATGGGCAAATAGTGATTCCCCACCAAACAAAAACAAAACACAATGAAAGTATAAAAATACATATTTACAGTAAAATTACCTACAACATCTATTTATAGTAAAATTCCCAACAATACATATTTAACTGTAGTTGAAGTTATGCAAATATTCAAAATATTTAGATTTTGGCATTAAATAAAGCATCTGTCTATATTTCTGAGATGAGGTATTATGTACATTATTTACATTATTCAGACTATTGTCCTCAACTTTGTTGCCATATTTATCACAACATTTCGGCTGTTGTACGCTCCGGCTTTCTTCAGGTGGTTGGAATGTCGAACTGAACCCTTTATTTCGCTCACTGGGGTAGACTGTTCTAATTCCACGTGCCATGTCTAATGGATGTCAGTAATCAGTTATCTCCTGTTAATTTTCCCTCTGAAAGTTCTCCACTGTGCCATGTGTCCTTGAGGACACATGGCACAGTGGAAATAATGTAAATAAAGCATAGAGTTTGATAAGCTGCTAAACAAAATCAACCAAACAAACATGGAAGAACTTTCATGATATTAATCCATATAATATCTAACACTTTCTTAAAGAAATCAAACTGTATTCCAAAATATAACTCCAACAAAACTGCAAGATAAAACACACATATCACCACGTCTAGTAATTATGTCAATAAAAATGTGTATATACACAAAAGCTGAGTATCATTTACCATGTATTCAATTGTGAAAGCAGAATAACATCTATCATATTTTTATTACTTCAAAGCTCCCAAGAAAATTAAATATCGGCATTGTAACAATTTTTCACAGATCTTTAGAAGGAGATAAATTTCTTCTTTTTAAGTCCACTCAGCTATTGGAGTATCTTAGAAATTTTGTTTCCAGTCCATCTTGAGTGAACTTAGGGGTTAGTGTTTCAGGATTCATGTCTCCAGTTTGCCTTTGAATTGGGAAACAAAAATTTTATAAATGATTTTAGATAGTCATAAAAGTAGTCCTTTGAAGATTTGACCACCCATGTTGCTTTGGAGTGGTCTCAAATCTTCTGGAAGACACATGAATGGAGGGAGTGGGACTCCAGGATTATTCATATAAGCAGAGAGCGGCAAGAAGTCAAGGAAAGTGGGTCCAGCCATGAGAGAAGTAGGTAGATGACCAGAGAAGTTGAAGATTCCCAGCAAGTCAGTCACAGAAGGACCAGTAGTGAGAAATCAGAAGTCGTCGTGGTCATTGAATTTGGGAAGATATCAGCCCACCTCTCAAAGCTGAAGGAAGGATCTGACATTTAAGTGAGTAATCACATTGTTGCTACTTCCTAACAAGAGAGTCTTGAAAAACAATTGTTATCTTTTTTGTTGTTGAAAACGATCACGTCCAAGAAGACAAACCTGTGTGCATAGTGAATTGGGTGTATATGCAAATACACTCAACCTTCAATGTCATCACAGGTGCAGTGAGCGACAAACGATCAAAGAACGTGTTCACAAAAATCATAATTCGTCACGTATATTGTCACAACAATAAATAACCCAAATAATATTATATATCTCATAAAATTATCAAAAACAAAAAAAAATTATCATAATAAAGAATGTTCAGTAGATGTTCTTATTTCAAATTTCTGCCAACAGGTAGCACTCATGCGTTGTTTTCCACACCAACATCAATTTTGAATTCCAACTTGTTTACATCTGTGCTCTGCCATTGATGTTCTTTCAATTACATTTCAATTGTGATCTAGAATACATTTTTGCCCATGACTCTGAAGAAAAGTCCCAGTGCAAGTGCCAAGCGTAAGGTTATATTATTGGAAGATATTAACAACATAGGGTGAGGTATACCTGTATTTGGTTAATCACCATGTCTCATTGAAGACATTTTTAGGGGGATCATTGTTTGGTCCCAATCCATATTTATCAACCATTTTACTATCAGCTAATCATAAAATCTTATTAAAAAATATAGCAGACATAAGCTCTCTGAATAACATCATTACATTATTTTTTGACAATCAAAGCCTAAAAGGAAAGGAATAGTGAGAGAATGAATGCATGCATACACACATACATACATACATACCCACAAAGAAAAAAAATACCTCATAATGATTGGACTGAACAGTTACACAAAGGTTCATCTACGAAACTCTGGAGTAGAAGTGCTGAATATAACATCAATGAGCTAAGTGACTGTTATGGAACCTGACTAAATGGACTTGTCCAATTACTATATATATATATATATTATATATATATATAGGGATATTATGCCTCTCAAGAGAGTTGTCTACAGTTGATGAGTTGACTACTGTACTTTGCCGTCTATCGGACATGCAACACTTTTGTATTCGTTCTTTTTGTTAATAATAGGTTTTCACTAAATTGCCGAGTTCAAGTTCTTTCGGACCTATTCTGGGTCCACAACAGTGACAAATTTTATATTTGTATTAATCCTCTCTCTCATATAGATATTATAATGAAAATAAACACTTAAAAAGACCATGGTGATATTTATTTCATTAGAAATGAAGATTTGGTCCCAACTCATCAGACCAACTCTTATATACAAATATAAATGGACTGATATGATGAGTTACGATCGAATTTTCAATTCTAATGAAGTAAATATCACCATAGTCTTTTTAAGGGTTTGTTTTCATTATAATAATTATTATTTGCTCTGTTTTTGAAATTAAGCTCACTGGATTTATATACCTTTTTGGAATTTCCATATGAATTACCAAATATTATATATATATATATATATATATATATATATATATATATATGTGTGTGTGTGTGTGTGTATATATATATATATATATATATGAGAGAGAGAAAGAGAATGAATGTGTGTAGGAATGCATAAAAGTCAAGGTAATCCATAACTTTATTGATCACCTTAACAGAAGAAAGCAAATATACCCCCTACCAAACCATTAAAAAAAATCTTTTATGGTAAGTAGTTCTTGTTTTGTTTAAACAAACAAAAGAGTCCTGGACTATTATAATATATTGGTCCTACTATATGGAAGTGAATACTGGACAATCTTCTTGAAGCAACAGAAATGTAATTCTACAGAAGGTTGCTGAGGATACCCTGAACTGAATGTGTGAGCAATGACAAAGATTTAAAGAAAATGGAAACAAAAAGGACAAATATTTAGAAAGAGATAATTGACATTTCTAGGGTACTTAATGGGGAAAGAAGGCTTGGAGAATTTAATATGTTGAAGGCAAGAGGGACAGAGGAAAGCAGCAAATAACCTACCTAATAAGCCTGTGTACATAGTTGGCAGAACACAGTTTAGGAGAGATAACAAAAAGACAAATATCACTAAGAGATACAAGGGATGATATAGCGATATCAGTGTTAGCTGATATTTTGTTAAATGAAAGCCTCTGAGCTGTCACAAAAATGATTTCAGACATTAATTTGCAGTAATGACTACCAGCTAAGTGAAATGGCCCTCACAAGGACTATGTCAAGTGGCTCAGATAAAGAAACTCGTGAAATGGCCCTCACAAGGACTATGTCAAGTGGCTCAGATAAAGAAACTCGTGAAATGGCCCTCACAAAGGACTATGTCAAGTGGCTCAGATAAAGAAACTCGTGAAATGGCCCTCACAAGGACTATGTCAAGTGGCTCAGATAAAGAAACTCGTGAAATGGCCCCTCACAAGGACTATGTCAAGGGCTCAGATAAAGAAACTCGTGAAATGGCCCTCACAAGGACTATGTCAAGTGGCTCAGATAAAGAAACTCGTGAAATGGCCCTCACAAGGACTATGTCAAGTGGCTCAGATAAAAGAAACTCGTGAAATGGCCCTCACAAGGACTATGTCAAGTGGCTCAGATAAAGAAACTCGTGAAATGGCCCTCACAAGGACTATGTCAAGTGGCTCAGATAAAGAAACTCGTGAAATGGCCCTCACAAGGACTATGTCAAGTGGCTCAGATAAAGAAACTCGTGAAATGGCCCTCACAAGGACTATGTCAAGTGGCTCAGATAAAGAAACTCGTGAAATGGCCCTCACAAGGACTATGTCAAGTGGCTCAGATAAAGAAACT